TTGTTAATCAGTGGCTGAGATTTGGTTTTGTAATTTTGTAGCACAAAACCCAGCCTAGACTGTCAGTTCTCAGATAGATATATGGGCTTTTTCCAGAGCTATAATTAATTTTTTATAAAGCTAAGAATGTAATGACAAGGTTCGTTTATAAGTTGATAGGTGTTACAATTTTTATTTTTATTTTTTTCTTTGCAAACATGAAAACCATGCCAATTTCCCATTTGTCAAAGGTCATTTAAAATTTTTTACAGAATGTTCAGATACATTTTTTTGAGAGGGATGTTGCACTGAGGCAGAGTAGTGCTCATAGGTAGGATGCTGAAAGTTCCAGGAATTTATGACTGGACTACTTTGTGGTTTGCTTCTGGGTGTGCCTGGCCCAGCGCAGCTGCGAGCAAAAGTCACAGCAATCTGACAGCTGCTGCGTGCCCTAGGTGAAGTGAGTCAATGACATCAAACCAGGTCTGTACCAATATCCTCATGACAGCTGGTGCTAATTGGCACCCCTGTTGGCAGTCTCAGTGGAGTTACTGAATCAAGCAAAGCACCAGATTAGCCTCTTCGTTTGATGTGCATTGGCAAGAGTTAGCTGAAAAACTTTTTTTTCCCCAGTTCTCTCAAAGAAACCATTTATTCTGGTTGAGTAGAAGGTAGTTTTTACTGTTGACAAGGGATCATCACTTCCCAACTTTCTCTGTGTTCATACATAGAACTTGTAAGGGGGCCGATGGTGAAAGATCAAGAGCAAGTATTGTTGTATACACATAAAAAATGCTGAAGCACCATGAAAGCATAATCATACTTTTCTGTGAAATTACTTGAATGATTGATGTCACAGCAACCTCTGTGACAATGGAGAGAAAATAGGCAAGGGAAAAGATTTTCTCTGTTTATTTTGTAGAAGCTACATTCAAATTTACTTTCTTCCGTGCGCATCCCTCTCAGCTGAGTAAAATAAAAAAGAAATATTTTTATAAAGCGTTGTAGAATACCAGAGGTTAACTGAAAGCAAAAGAGCCTGAAATACATTAAGGAGACTTCGAACTCTTTCTCATTCTGCTCTTTCATATAATTGAGAAGTGTGGATCCAATGCTGTTTGTCAGAATTACTATGCTATGTGTCATAGTATAATATAATAAAATGCTGTGTTATGACCTGAACAAAGGGTCCTGAACCCAAGGATCTGTGTTATTTTCTAACTGTAGCAAACAGGACAAGAATGCTGCAAGCTCTTGAGATTGTTGCACAATAAAATCTATTAAGGCCCCAACAACATATGTAGCAGCTGAAATAACTTTTTATTATTTTTAAAATTGGCTGGATTCTCTGTGTTCCCAGTGTTCTTTTAGAATCTTAAATACTTTTTTCTTGGAGAATGTCAAAATGAATATGTTTTGAGAAGTTAGAGGTTGCTTGACTTTCACAGTTGGGAATTTATCAAAGCTGACCATGCTATTACCACACACACAGACACACAAGCCAAATGAGAGCTAAACATGTGACAGGTATTGTCTGCTTTTTTACATCCTCAGACAATAACCTCTGAAAGTGTTTTAGTTTTCTACATAGGTATCTTCAACTCATTCAGTATTAAACCCTGTAAGTCTTCTCCATTTATAAGAGAGGAGCTAAAATCTCTTCATAGTTGTTTTATGTTTCTAAAATATTCTGAATATGTGAAGTGCTGTTCAAGTACTAAGTTTAAATATTTTCTCTTAAGCAAGACAATTGGATTTAGTGAGGTTGTAACCCTCAAAGATTACCTAAAATGATTAACATGCTCTCTGTGTTACCCTTTGTAGTCTTAACAGCTTTTGATGGCATCCCCAAGACTCACCTAAAACCCCTGTTCAGTCTTGGTCTGTAATGTTTTGATATGCTCTCTCTTCTTAGGCTTTTTTGAACTATGAGCTTGGCTGTTTTATTTGGTATTTAGGGATGTTCCCTGGTTTACCTTTCCTGCTTTTTCCACTAAGTGCTCTTTTTGCAATACATTAAGACAGAAAGGGTAATAGACAGATTTTCACACTAGAAAAGTATCATCATGGAACATAAAACTTGTAATGCCCAAAGAAAACATTGGAACACTGAAAAAGAAAACAAAAATAATTTCTACGTACCTGGGGAGGGCAGAAAGCATGTGACTGTGGGAAATAAACATTTTTAGTGCAGGGCACACAGCTTTTATTATTCATATGAGGTTATTCTGGAAACACAATTTACAGATGATGTAAACAAAAATCTGAAGGCAGAAGGAAATGAGGCTAAATTAAGCATTTTCGGTGAAAATCATGTGTGTAACAGGCAGTTATTATTTAAGCATAGGCGTAAAGAATAGTAGACAAGGGAGGAGTTTTATTACGTTCTAATAAATGCTTTTGAATGCTTGGCAAAATATTTTTCTTTAAATAAATGTGTCATGCTCATAATCTAATAGATTAGTCCTCGTCATCACTATCATCACTGTTACTATCCTATTGAAAAAAGAGTTGATATTTGTGTTTCCTTTCATAAGGTAATAAATGTTTCATAGCTGTGTACTTGGTTTGATTAATTGAAATGTATGAGATACCTAAGATGCTTAAAATTGTTTCTTCTAGTCCACAAAGAAACAGGAATTCAGAGAACTGGCTTGAACATTTTAATAGAGTCCTTATAATGTCATGAAATGCATCTATTTTTAGTAAAGATTTGTATTCACTAAGGCACCTATATCCACTACTGATACACAGAATGTGTTGTTTAACAAACAGGTTATATACAGAGGCTGTAATTTCACACAGCTGAAAGGCTGACATCAAAATGTCAATCTAATTCTTTTTCAATCTTTTTTTATTTGCAAACTCCAAGACATTTTCCAGCTGAAGCATCTCTCTACCAAAGAGTAAATTTCAACTTACTTCAAATATACTTCTTTTTTAATTACCTTTTCCTAATAACAAAGGGTTGGGAGGCCACAAATCAAAGGCCACCGTCCCAAACATCTTAGCCATCCACATACTTATGACTTGTTTAAAGAATCATAATCAAATTTCTAGCAAGTTATAAATGTAGTTCAAAATACTTTTTCAGATTGGTTGGTGGCACAGTACAGCACTAGTTCGTAGCATGGATTACTGTCCGCTGGAGGAACTAGACAATGGCAATTTATAGTTTTTTCCAGATCTTACTTATTTTCATCTCCCACATACAGAATTTTAAAGTTCATTCATTTGCACAAGTTGTAAAGTTAGAAACACTGCCCAGTTGGACAAAGTGGTACAGATTTTCAAGAAAATTCCTCTCATATTGAGGGGAAATAAAATCTCAAAGCTATAACTACACAGCTTAAATTGGTTTAAACATGTTAAGTGGATCATTGTGCTTTTCAGGAACTGTCAGTTCTTATTAAGCTGAATAGTTGTATTTAATTATGTGCTGGACAGTAATCAATTCAGAAATGCGAATGTGTGATCATGATATCCCTCATGAAATCTGTTCATTCAAGGTATTTCCCGTTTTTTCTGTTATGTTAAATAGGTTGATTCATTCTGCTCTAATGAGGATACCATTGCGTAGCTAAATGTTCTTCCATATGGTTGCATGACTTCTTCCTTTTAACAGAGCTTCACCCCCTACCCCCGGTAGCATTTTCTCACTCCAATTGGATGGGCGCAGAAGAGGTTCTGATTCTGATGAGGACTGTTCATACACTATTTTAAAACTGGAGCCACTGGAGTTAACTAAATTATGTCATAGTGCCAGTTGTCTTGATGTTAAACTGACCTGAAAGAAGGATTAGACTTAAGCTGATATTTTGAAAAAGTTTGGGTGGTTTTTTTTTTTTTCCAAATTACTATAATGCTGAAGTGTCAGAAGATATACCGGCAGCTGTCCTTTTGTAGCCGAAACAGTTAAAGCAGTTGCTCTCTCTATCCATTCGCTTCTGCCCGTGTAACTCACACACAATGGTATGAGTTAACCTAGTGGACCTTGTAATAATTTGAATGCTAATGCATGGTGCTGAGGAGCAGTTATCCAAACCTTAATCAAAACCCAGATGTGGAGGCAGTGGCTTCTTATTAGGGGGAGAAATATATTGTGTTTTGCAGGTACTGCTTAAAAATACAGCAGCATGTTGGTTAGTCTTTTTAGATCTTTGTGAAATTCATTGAGATTTTGACAGATAGATAAAATAAATTATTTAATCGTAGTCACCTTATTTATAAACAAGAATCAGAAGTCCAGGATTAGACACCCAAGAAAGAGTTGGGCACCTCAGAGATGTGTCATCTTCTCCCTTGTCATGCCACTTTCCCTTCCCAGTATGGGAATATTAAGCAAGAACCACCTTAAATCTAAGAAAGAAGAATGCTAGCACAAAAATGCATGTAAAACTCTACTCTTCGCAGTGATTAGGTGCCTGAATCAAAACTACACTGAAGTATTTTATCTGCTTATGATCCAGTGCACCTCATTTGCCCAATTATTTCTGAAACGGCAAATACCACTAAAAAGAAAGGTGTTTTTCCCATGGCAGGATTTTTTTTCCTGGCAGGTAAGTATTAAGCACAAGGCTGTGCAGTCATGTTCCATCTTGTCTGCTTCCCCTCTAGATCCAAGAACCATTTGTTCTTTTCCACACTTTGGCCTCTACTTGACCAAGGGCCCTGCTCAGCACAGCAGGTACCTTGGTGGTCAGGGCATTCCCGCTGAATGTGAACGGTGTCCCTTTGAGTTCCTGCATGTTGAAAAAATGAAATTTTAGTCAGGTTTTCATTTCTCTGAGATCAAGCAGGAAGGGAGTAAAGTGTTAAAGAAGTTTAAGTAGCTGCTGATGGGTGGGTTGGACCAATTTTTGATGTTGACATATGAAAACAGTACTTAAACTATTACGTTGGGAATAGCCCTATTGCTTCTGAGGCAAGTGAGTGCTACTATCTAATTCCTGCTATACAAGGGGAAGGCACTGCACTGTTATAATTAAAATTGAGGCTATTTATTTGTTATTTTCTTCCAGGAAACAGATTCGAGCTCTTCTAGGACAGTTTAGCCAGTCAGAGGCTTTGTTAATCTCTGCTGGAGTTGAGCCAGGGACTCTAGACGGAGTTCTCTTGGATGCTGGCTGTTCTTCTATGCAATTTGATACACCTGAAAGAGGTTTTTCCCTGCAGAAGGACGGACCTTTGGACATGAGGATGGATAGTGACAGGTACCTGTTAATAAAATATTTTTCCTTGAAACTCACAAACTGTGTGCTCGGCAACCACCATGCATTTCATTTCCCCTTAAATTGAAGAATTCTCATCGTCAAACCATATCTAACTTTGCACGAGTATGCTGTCTGTCTTTTGCCACAAAGGTTTTTTTGATCTCAATACTTAGAAACCTGGTTATCGTTCTTTTCCTTCTCTGGAATAAGAGGAATGTTCCAGTGATGAGTAATTAAACCAATAATGTTTTTGTTAACTATACCATTAAAATTTTATATTTTTGGAGTGTATGATATACAGTCACAGGGGCATCTCACTTTCAGAGGCCTGTCTTCTCCCTGTTAACTTCCTCAGTTTCTCAGACTGTACTTGATCTGCAGGCTCACTACCGCTTAATGCAGTCCCTTTTGTTTTCTGCCATGCTTACTATTTGTGGAACCTTCACTTGAGCATGTTCAGTTGCTCCCTCAGGAAAGGAGCAACCTCCCTTTTTTCTGCAATGGCCATCTGACCCAGTTACTTCTCTCTAAAAGGAATGTAATATAAAATAAATAAATAAAATCCCATCCATGGTATCTGCCAATTGAAATCAGATAGCAACATTGCCTTTAACACACTAGTGTAACGTTGTCTTCCATGTCCATAGATTTATTGTAAGCTTTCCTTAGCAATATTATAGGCTTCCTTTCACATTGTGTAGGAGGCACATCAGGCTTACCTAATTGTCCCATTAAGAATTACTAAATAAATCACCTCTATTTAAATTGTTAGAATTGGTGTTTAGTACATTCAAGAGCATGAAAATCAATGGTGGAATGGTAATTTCTACTTATGTAGCAATTTTCATCTTGAAACAATCTAATATGTTTCTGTAGCATTGTGCTTTTTACATGAACAACCAAAGATTGCTGGTTTATAGATGATGGCGGTAATTGCATAATGCATTACTGGGAGAATGAGAATTTTTGCTTTGTGTTTTGATGAACCTGCAGTCTTAAGAAATGCCATTTGATCTCTCATTGCTCACACAGAGCTGATGGGAAGCCTCAGTTTCTAAGGAATTATCTTAACACATTAACGTTAAGTCTTAACACAGCAAATTTCATGATACTCGCTTTTTCCAGTTCTGTGTAAAAAGCTCACACGATCCTCCTGGGATTCAGCCCTCAGATTTCAAGAATCTGAACTCCAGGCTTATATTTGCATCATGAGAATACATACATGGAACAGGAGCATAAGAACAAAGGATACCTGTGGCATAACAAAAGCCTTACACTACGGTTGTTGCTATGATACTACTTGCCTCTGATTTCTAAGTTTTGTTATCTTTTGTAAGATACTGCAGGAGAGTAATAAGTGCCTGAAAAATATTCTTCACATTCATGTCTTTGTAGAAGAGAATTTATTAAGTAGGTTGTATGTTTTCTCCGATTAGTAAACCCATATATGATGTTCATAAAATACCTTGAACTATTTCAATAGCAAAGTTACAGAGATTTAAAAAAAATAAATGTATGGCTTATATTGTTTATATTGTAATAATTCCTGACATTTGCAATATTAGATCATTTTTATTCTCTCAAAACAGTATTTGGATATAAATTCTTCTGCCTTTTAGTGGAAAGTAAAGTTAAATTATTTTCATGAGCAATTGTTTTCATAGCAGGGGATGTGGAAGAAAAGATCCTTGAAATCAGTTCTGACTAGAAAACAACATACAATGCAAGGTGACTAAAATGAACCTGTAAGGGGCAAGGGTATATTCTAAAGCTGGTGAAATAAGAAGCCACACAGGTTTCCATTTTAAGATGATACTGAAATGTATTTATACTTGTCAACTCATTAAGTATAGTTTTTGATAATACTTGGAAGTTTCAGCTGTTCTAATGATGTTCAGGAACAAACTCCATTTAAGGTAGTAAGAGAAAAGATTTAAAAGGTGCAAGCTATATCTGTTTTCACAGGGTTGCTGTCTCTTATTTGAAAACCTCAAAGGCACTTGTATGCAGTGTGTGAATTTGACTTTATGTCTCAATGCTATGAAGCTTCACCTCTTGTCAATGAAAACTGACGTCAGCGAACTAATTGGCTCTTCTTGTGCGTAGGTACCCTGACATGCCCACTGCTGCTGATGTTGTGAATGCCTTAGATCAACAGGCACTTGCGTCCATCCTGAGAACATACGGGGAGGAGAGGCATGCCAAGAAAATCGCTTCAGCCATCGTTCAGGCACGCAGCATATACCCCATCACCAGAACTCAGCAGCTTGCAAGCATTGTTGCAGGTACCCTCATTAATTCTTCACAGTGGCTGAGGAGAAAAAATATTAATCCCTAAAGTCCCAGAGGGATCTATTTGTACTTGAAATCATGCAGGATCTAATCCTGCCTATTCTGCTCTGATGTCAGTGGTCTTTTTTTGTCTTTTTTTTTTTTAAGGTCCCACTTCTTATATTGTAGTTTGACGATTAGTTTAATAATAGATTTTACATGAAGTGATTTACCATTTGCCAACCAAGTTGAAACACAGAATGACAGCAGCCTAGGGAATTCTTTATCCCAGCTATTGATAAGCCTTCAAATATCAGATACGTCATATACCTCTTTTAAACTTCTACATTTTAATATTTTGAGGGGAAGTACCATGGCAGTTTCCAATTATGAATGAAATCAGATCATTTCTGTCTGCTTAAAGAACCAGGAAGCAAAAAGTAAAGCAATGCATAGCTTGCTTCACTTTGTGAATGCCAACTACATCAGCCTGAAGCAACTATTGAAACGCTTCATCTTACTTGCTCTTCACTGTAAACAACTTGAACAAAATGTAGTTAGGCAGGAACTGTGCTCACATCAAGAACCTTCATGTTTGTGTTCTCAAGTGAAAATTTTCAAATTAAAATGTAAGACACAAATCCTGTTCATTAACATTATGATATGTAACATTGGGGTATTTTTATTTTTTTTAACCAAGAAATGAAAATTACTGGCTCTTATCGCAAATAAGTCTAAACTGCTGACTCCTTTGAATACAGACCTTTAAAATGGCTATCCAAATCTAACATTTGCTAAAGAATAGTGTTAAGCATTGTATCAGTGTCCTGAAGACTTTTTAAAAATATATTGTATTCATAAAGATTTGTATTACTTAAACTGGAATTTTAAGGGACTTAGTTTTAATGACTGACAAACAAATTAAAAGGTTTGGATTTGTGTAAGTCAGGATACTTGAGCAAAATACCCAGTCAACCGCCCAAAGCCCAAAGTTTAGCTGATAATGATTAAAGGACCTGAAGACACTGCTTGCTGTTGTAAGCCCCTGCTGTAAATATAGTGAATGTGAGGAACAATCTTAAAAAACCAAAGAGATAAAACACTATGAGTCTTTAATAAAACTTGAAGAGTTACATTTTTAATGTAGTCATTGTCATCAACAACACAAACTAATAATTTAGGGGTTTGTCACGTGTATCGCATGCTTTTTGAAAAACTGTTGATTAACAGTGTACCATTATTGAGACTGAAGCAACCATATTGCTGTGCTAAAGATGTAATGTGTTAGAGGCTGCAAACAAGCAACTCCATAACTTCTGAAATAGTTTTGTGCACTAGCTTGAAGTAAGAAAATAAAAATACTAGTGCCTAAGAGATAGTGATTGAAGAGCCCTTCATGTTTAATGTGTTGCATGTGAGTCATCACTTAATGGTCACTTTTCTGTGACAATGAGAAGAATTTTTTGTTCTCACTTTAAACTCTCTGCTATATTTGAAGAGCAGCTTGATACATGAATCAAGTATGCATCAGATAGTATATGCCAAAGACAATGAATCCAACACATATCTGCCAAGACAGTAAATATGTATGTTTTGTGTGCTTTTTGTTTTTTTGAAGTATGCAAGTAGTTAAAACAATGTTAGGACTGTTAGACTGATCCCTGTTTGGGTAGAACTTCCAATTTTAATTTGATTCCTCCATTAAAGGAACACAATGGTGGATCCTACTAGTTTTTGAACTGATTATACCTTAAAAAAATTCTGGTAACTATAATATATTTTGTTTAATTTATCATCTATCATCAATATACATTCTTATGCAAGATGATATCCATGAAGTTATTGAGTTAAGCCAGAGCTAAAGCGCCAGACACCACAGCTACAGGACCCTCTTGATGGCACAGCACAAAAAAACCCCTGACTAATTCATGACTTTACCAGAATAAAATCTATGACCTATTAGTTAAATGTCAAGTCCTTTAAAAAAAAAAATTAATTGGAATAATAAAATCTTACATTTTAGATTTTGCAGACTCTGTGCAAGCATGATTATCTCTCCAGAACAGGATCAATTTTTTTTGCCTAGTATAGGAGCCAGAAAACAAGCAAAAAATCTAGCCAATGAGGTTGAGTATTTATTTCTCTTTCTTTGCTGGTGTCACTATCTGAGAATTCATGTATGGTCCATATTTCTTTCACATGTTATAGATTACTATGACTTCAGATGCTCTAGAACTCTGAAGTTTTGTGTTAAGGTCCAGCTGATAACTAGAATACCAGTGAATCTAGATTTGGACTAGCCTGAAATTGGAAAATTCCATTTGTGTTTATTAGAATGCTAGACTTCTGGTCTTTCCTACCACCCCCAAAAAGTTAGAATGTGTATTGTTGTTGCTGATTGATTGGGAGATAAGAGTGAAGGATGTAATTAAAATAAGAAAACAAACAAAATGCCTCCACAACAGTTACAGAACAATCAGGCATTTCTGAAGTTTGTATTAGCAAGAGTTATAATTTTAAAGTATAGCTGGAAAAAATGTATAAATATATTTGTATGTCAAGATTGCCTACAACAGCTTGGGGCTAACTCAGGTAGCCAAGTGATCTCTTGCTCCTCTTGTTTCCAATTTAAGAAAAGTAATTCTTCCTATTTCTTGACCTAGAGCCTGAAAGTTGTCTCTCTACATACTGTGCCATTGAATTGTGATCCATTTGAATAAGGAGATCCCTGTAACTATGGAGTCTGCAGTTTACATGGGAAAAAGGAGGAGTTTTCTGTTCAGTCATGTGAACATCATCTCTTCTTGCAGCACAGTCGAACTCCACTGTTTATAATTCTCACACGGCTATCTGCAATGATGAATGCTCTGTAAATACTAAAGATTAGTAGTTCTCAGCTGAAGGACTATGAATAGATATGTGGAACTCGATTAAGAAGCACTTCCTCATGGCTTTTGCTGTAGCTCATTCAGTTGTTTGGAAACAATAGGTTTAACTTGATGTACAGGAAAACTGGTTAATAACAGTGAAATTTTTAGAATGTAATTTTAATATGCTTTTTCTGTGCAACTGATGATCTATTTTTATTTCTTTTCAGAAGGTAATATACCTTCTTATCTATTAGTTTTTGTTCAAAATTTAATTTTTCTCAGTGGTACTTAGATACATAATCTATTAACAGATCGTTTTGACATCATGTAATCATTTGGACTTAACTTGAAAGGAATTGATGATGAGATATTAAAGAAATCTGAAAAGTTTAAAAAGAACTTTAATGGGTAAAGCCAGTCTCATTCAGATTGGTTCACATTTATAGACTTTAATTATCAGTTTGGAATTTATAATATTGCCTGAATTTCAGATGGGTGAGAATTAACACTGTACTGAGGGAGCCTAGACAAAAGGACATTAGGTGCGTCACAGAAACTTATTAAATGCAATGCTAATTCAACAGACGGATTCCTGCAAACAGGTGCACGATCTGAATTAATTTTTAAACTCTCCCACTCTCATACACTCTGGGGACTTTAATAGTTCATATTGACAGGCACAGCACGTTGCTGATTTCATTCACCAGCTTTAAAATTTCAATACATTTCAACATGTGAATCTATTAGATTTTTAAAAGTGTAAGTAGCATCAGGGCGTCCCAAAACTAAAAATGATAATTTCTCTCACTGGGATTTCAAACCAGTCATCTAGCCAGAAGCATGGTGTTTTTATGAATGAAATTCATTTTACAAGCTTCCCATACAGATTTTTTTATATCTTTTTACATTGTACAGCCTGTTACCAGGAAAGATTTTCTTTTAGCGTCATGGTAATTGGAGGGGGCCGGGTGAGAGATTTTGTGCCTTAGCAGAAAGCACAAGTAGGTTTTTCTTTAACTATACCAGAGAACTAGAGTGGGGTAGAAATATTTTTCACCCTCAGAACATAGATCAAAATCCACTGCATTTACTAAAAAGATGGAGGCCAGTGTGACAGAAATCACTACCACACATTATATTTATTAGTTAATCCCAGTCTCTGAAGACAGACCAATAAGTCTTTGAACCTGGAAATGGTTTGATTTTGGTTTAGTTTTGGTTGCATAAAGCTGCAAAGTGGCTGCATTTCTTTACCAGTGTCGTGGTTTAGCCCCAGCCAGCAACTAAGCACCGCACAGCCGCTCGCTCACTCCCCCTACCCCGATGGGATGGGGGAGAGAATTGGAGAAGTAAGAGTGAGAAACACTCCTGAGATAAGAACAGTTTAATAATTGAAATAAACTAAAATAGTAATGATAATAATAACAATATAATAATGATAATAACAATAATAATATCCAAAGCAAGTGATGCACAATGCAATTGCTCACCACCCGCCGACCGATACCCAGACAGTCCCCGAGCAGCGATCGCCGCTCCCCGGCCAACCCCCACCCAGTTTATATACTGAGCATGACGTCATATGGTATGGAATAGCCCTTTGAGCAGTTTGGATCAACTATTCTGGCTGTGCCCCCTCCCAGTTTCTTGTGCACCTGGCAGAGCATGGGAAGCTGAAAAGTCCTTGACTGGCATAAGCAGTACTCAGCAACAACTAAAAACATCAGCGTGTTATCAACATTCTTCTCCTACTAAATCCAAAACACAGCACTATGCCTGCTACTAGGAAGAAAATTAACTCTATTCCAGCCGAAACCAGGACAACCAGTTTCCTGAATATTAGTATTCTGTACAGTTACATATGACCTGCAGTGCTGTTTGTGCACGTTCAATTGAGGCATGTAAGGTTGTATTATACTTACAGAATATATCTGGGTTTTAATTTATTTTTCTTCAGTGTGTGATAAATTAATTCACCGTAATAAACTAATGACATAGTTAATTGTCATAGAAGATTATTTTAGGAAGACACTGCACTCAACAACCATGGCAGGACAAATGGAAGAACCTTCCAAAGACCTGGTAGTGTCCTAGTCCTTCTGGTAGCCTGAGTATCTCATTTCTTTTGTTTATCTGTTCAGTATTGCAATTGCAAAATAGCAGTGTTCATGATCAGACTACTAAAAATCTGGCCAGATATCAGCATGTCATGTCTATTTAGATTTTTACAAAACCAGTTTTGAAGTAGATCTTTATATCATTCTTGGTTTTTCAGATAAGTAAAAGATATTTTGGTGACATAGGAGATAAAACTTCCAGTATTTTACTCAGATTCCAGTGAGATTGGCTGTGGAAATTTAAACAAGGATCTCATTCTAGGCTTCTGTTTTTATGGTTAGGTCCCAATCAAGAAGTACAGTCAGTTTTGTACCTAAATTACATGCTGTACTCTTGTGGGTTGACTTCATTTTTATCTGTGATACTTTTGGAAGCTGAAATACTCTCAGAATATCAGAAATGGATCATCCCCAGAAAATGAGCAGTATTTTTAGAAAATACTTAGACTGCTAAAATATGATAGTTAAAAATTCTGAATCTGCTTTGAGAGGTGAGCACTAGCTCTGGGTAGTAAAGTTGAAAGTGTAAAACTGATGCTCTTCAAGTCACAGCTGTAATTTTTTTCAGCAAGGGGCAGGAACAATACGGGTAGAACCAAAAAAATGCACCCTGTTTTCTAACCCACTAGCATGTTAATAGCTGGTATTTTGTAAGGGAAGAGTGCTTTTTCATTCCAGTTACAACTGTTTTCATGGAGTGAATATGGCAGCAGTGGGCTTGGGTTTGGAAGGGGGGAGGGGAAGAGTGAGGCACGTTTTCAGTGGGTTTAAAAGTAGGCTTAGAAAGAGAGAGAGATTTGTTGTGTAAGATCTTTTACAAAACCAGTATTTTCTTATTCAAGAGACCATGGTTTCTGTAACTGAGTTCAAAAGATACCCGGGTATCTGATGTTTCAACTTCAAATTCCGTTGAAGAAAAATAGTATTAACTGAAACCTAAGACAGGTCTTCTGGAGAATACGCAGTTATGTATATTTAGTCACTTAGTGTATGCTATGGAAACATGCATGTCCTATGGTGTTTCTGGATACATTACATGCTGATTTTAAACCCTACTGTTTCATTTAATAACTATTCAAGATTTCTTAGCATACCACTAGTGTTTGTAGCTGTTAGTTTGCCATTGCTCAGCACCGCATTCCTTTATGTTACACATTAAGAGACGATTTTCTTCACATACAAATGGCAGTCAACGGCTGTTTTAAGGATTCTGTTTTCAAAGAATCTATTTTTAGGTGTGTAAAGAAATATGGAAACAGATACTGTGCCAGGTAGTACAAGCTTGGTGTCAGTTGGTTTCTTGGGACATTTTACCTTCTGCAATTTTGAGTTCTCCTTTTAGTTCAGCTCTTTCATCAAAACAGGCTTTGTGACCCGTACAATAGGGGTATATATTCTTTTTATGAATTATATAAAGTATAGATAGAATGTGGTGTTCTCAAAGACAGAAATTATATTGGCTAGCTAGCTAGTGTGACTTTTTCTAGAGTTTGTAAGTGATGAAGGAGCCTAGCTCCTGCAGGTTAAATCTATTTACTCTGCTTTGTGAAAGAGGGTTTAAAGCCACAAATTCCTGTGCAGTAGTTTGTGTTGGGAGAAGTTGATCATGTTGCCACTTTCTGTCTGAAAGGATTCAGACTATAGGAATAGGAAATAGCTACAGCTACGATAGGTCTCTCCAGTTAATTCAGGAACTGTTAGCATTAGAGTTGAGGAGATAGGGAATGTAGTTGGGAAAACTGAGTAGGCAGAAACGCACCTTGGATACACCACATACATGATAATAATGCTGTTAATAATGATTGAATTTTTAAATCCCGTTATTGGCCTCTCCCTTTGCTGAACACCAATGATCACTTATGTGTTTGTGATGCCAAACACTTACGCTTTCTGACATAAGTAAAATCTTGCCTTTAAAACTCTCAAGAATTCCACTAATAAATTATTTTGTGCCAATGTACTGGATTATGATCTCAAATGTTTTTCAGTCATCTGTGTAAATGTGAATTCAGTCAGCTTGTTTCAGAGGTACCACATTCCTTTCTCTTACTCCACTACATGGAATATCAATTACCTGATTATGAACTGCATTTACTTCAAACCCATTGCTTTATTATGTTGTAGTTTAGCACTGGCATGGAGTTAAAGCATTTTAATACATACATACCAGCTGTATTGCCTTATCTCTAATGGGCCCTCTTGTTTGGAAAAATAATTCTTTCCAGTTAAGCACTAGCATTATTCATTCAATTTATCTTTACCAGACTCCTGTGCTCACTTACATTATAGATTACAAATTTACTCAGATTTCACAGACCTTATAAGACTCTTGCACTTTAGTCCCTTTGATCCGTCAAATCTGGTTTCTTTAGCTTTTTGCTCTGTACTCAGGTAATGAAGATTCAAGCCTCAAATACATTAAATAATGATATATTAAAGTTTCTATCAAAATTTCAGTCTCTACAGAGACTTTTATAACTCATAACAATTTTGGAGAAAGGAAGAGGGAGTTTTGTGCATCTAGTAAAAATTAATTAATCCAGTGATTTTCGTCCAACAAACTCATACCTTGACACATTCTGCTGTATAGGCATATGAAAAAGCAACAGTAGCAGCTGCATTGTCTAAATTTCTCAAAGTATTTTTGTGAAAATTTGAAGAAACATGAGCATAGTGGTCAACAGTTTTTATCCCCAAACAAGGATGCCTCTTTTAAGCTTTAAATAATTCATTGAAAGATACTTATCACCAGGTAGACATTGTCTTCATCTTATCTCTGTCTGTGAAGAAATGTGTCATTATCTAGAAGGCAACACTTAAAGTTGTGTCCACCATATATTAATTTTTTTTTGCCTTCAAAGCATAAAACAAAGCACCACAAATACTGAACTGACATTGACTACATTGAGATGTAAAGTGAGACTTACCTAGTCAATCTTCATTTTTTCCCTATCTTGGTTTCAGCTATCATTTTGTATTTTAACTTTGTGAAGCATTTGGGGAAGGAATTTCTGTCAAAGATTCTAGGAAAAAACCCAATGCTCAACTGCAAGCCAGCTCAGTTTAATAGGGTTTACTTTCAGAAATGTGAATTCAAAGCAGAAAATAAAGATATATAATAAAGAAGGAAGCTCACCACTCAGGGTTCAGTTGTAAGTATGTTTTCCTTTAAAGTCATCATTCGTGAGTGGATTAATGTCAGGATAGAAATGTAGAACTAATAAGATATTAACATATACCTTTTGAACTTTGACAGGTGCTTTTCCAGCATCAGCACTGTACGCACGAAAAGACTTGCTTCAGAGACCTACGCATGTTGCTACCAAAACTTTCCAAGGCCTGCGAATATTTGTAAATGATGAGCTCCATGAACTCTTTATAGGGCTGAAGACAGCTGAGAAGTTTCTAAAACCTGGAGGTCGCCTTGTAGCCCTCTCCTTTCATTCATTAGAAGATCGTATTATCAAACGTTATCTTCATGGAATAGACATGACAGAAAAGTACAATCTTGGCTCAAGGCAGAAGATAAGACAGGCTCTGAAAAATTGCTCCAAAGAAGATACACAAGAATTTCCCCATGGAAAATCCAAATCAAAGTGGATTTTTATACAGAAAAAAGTTCTTACACCCCAGGCCAAGGATGTTCAAACAAACCCAAGAGGAAGGTCGGCCAAGCTAAGAGCTGCTATTAAACTCTAAAACAAAACACATGGTTATATAATCGTATAATTTCCTTGAATTTTGTTTTCCAGAAGGCTAGCTGGACAGATAGTATCAAACGGGAAAAATAAAATGAAGGCTGTTAGAAAACTTTTCTTTCTCACCTTTGTGCTTCCTTTTAATTAAAATGTAGTGTAGAGCATCAAAAGGTAAAATAAATGTAGTTAAGTGGGTGTCACTAGTTATATAAAAAAGACATCTTTTTAAAAAGAATGTCAAAACCAAAGTTTATAAAAAATTACAGGTTTGATGTATTTACAGTATTTCCTTTAGATTAAATTCAAACCCCTGACATTAACAGTCTAAATTCAGTAGCTGATTGAGACACACGTTTTTATGGGGACGGATTTCACACACCTAAGTCAGACGGCTGGTTTAGGCTAGAGTAAGTTTAAACTAACTTAAGAATTCATGATATATGAGTCCCTATCTCCATTGACGTGTTGTATGAATGCCTGTGGGACAAGAGCTAGTTCTTAAATAAATTCTTATCAGTATTTAATGTTCTATCCAGGAATTTGTAAATGGGCTCTTACCTTTTTTTAAAATAAGTAAATATATACTTCTGAGTGATGACCTGGTTATTTACTGTTTATGGATTCTAAATAATAAATGTGTCTTGGGGAAAAAACATACTTAAAAGACCACTGTTTGCACTTGGACACTACAAGCGAGCAGTCAGATTTGTACTTGACCATTTGAATTTCTTCCTGTGACCCTAACTTCTGTGCATAGATCCAGTACAACTTTTAGGTGTTGATGGAGTTATAATTAACCCATCAAAAAAGGGGTATTGTGGATCTTATGAAGTACACTCGTTTGCTGATCATTTATTAAAGGTGCTACTTAGGTAAGTATTGAATTATTTTATAAAAGGCCCACTGTAACACGTTTCCTATTTGGATGCTATACTAGTCAGTACAACATGTAACATAATTTATTTTTTAGTAAGTTAATATGAATTGGATCTAGCTTTGGGTTTATATTTTATCTTAAAAGACCGTTGTTTTGCTGTCTTGGTATGTTAAAAATGATCACAAAATAGTCTAAGTTTCAACTCCTTTGACCTCTGACTCATCTCTTCAGGAAAAAAAAAAGCCTTATTTGGATAATCAAATTGGTAGCAGGATTTCATTTGTGATGAACCTGAAACTTGGCTGGTAGAATAAAAAATGCAGTTTCTGACTCTGAGATAAATGGTTACTACACTAGCTTCTGCAAAAGAACTGACTGGATTGTTCTGGACTTGATTTTCATCGAGCATCCTGCTTATGTTGATGTAAATGATTACTTCACAGGAGTTTTTTGGGTCATAGTGACACAAGTTGAAATTTAAGTTCACTGTCTATAATATACAATATATTGAAATATCTGAATATTGTTTAATTCCTTGGTAAAGCTAAGTCATGTAATGTATTCTTAGGTATACACATGATAACATCTATCACTAAGCTAAAATAACAATTGAATGATGATGGGCATTTCATACTTTTCTGAAATTTCAATATTTTTCCACTAGTTTCATTATAAATGCAATTAAATATTAAATAAAACATTCCACTTCAAATAATATTACTTACTGTTGACATCTTAGAGACAACAGACTGTACCTTAAATAGACTTTTTTTTTCATCCAAACATTAAATATAAATAGCTAATGTTATTTTTAGCTAAGAGTCAATATTGAAATATACTCCAGTTGTAGGAAAAATTGTGACTCCAACACAGGCTTAGAAGAGTTGTAGTGCCATGCTGCACATTGTACAGAAACACACTTCAGGAAAAGGCCATCCAGTTAGAGCAGAAGTTAAGTATCTATATCCCAGAAATTGTATGAAAGCATTCAGATTCCTTATGCTTAAAACAAAGTTTAAAATCCACTCTTCTCACGTCTAATTTCAAAGGCACAGTTTCTTATGATAGTTGAACTACTGTGTATTAGTTTTTGTAAATACACTCTGTCAGTTCGGGAAAGTAAGAGAGTTTTCTTTCCCTTTAGGTTGCAGTTGCACAGCCATGGCAGTGCATCAGTCATTGAGCTCTTCTCGGTACAGGATCTGTTTCTCTCCTCTCAGGATCTCCTCACTTTCAGCTTTAAACTTGTAGTATGGAGAGGCCTGGAATTTTAACCTCTGCTTGCCTGAAAACAGAATTTTCTGGTTTTCCCAGAAAAAAAAAAAAAAATTGGTTATACTGAGTCAAAGTATTCTTGTATCTTTAAGCATTTCATTTTCATTTAGTAGGTGAAGTTATATTATGTGAAGGTTATTAGGTCTTTATGTTCTTTCCAGGACACACGTCTGCATAGCATATCTTAAATTTTCCTAACGTGGTGTATGTGACATGTTAGAAAAAATAAACACTTTTTTACCATAATCAAAAATGGTATTTATGAAGGAGATGGTATCTGGTGGAAAATTAGTCTCACTGAAAACCAAATCAAGATACAAATTGCGTATAATTTCTAAAATCTTGTTATTCAACCTGAGTAACATATATTTTTAGTACAGCCAAATGCAAGATTATCTATCAACAACAAAGAAAAAAGATTGTAGACCATGTTTACAAGGAATATGGCAATACCATGGTACTGTACACGATGGGAAGAGTAGAAACTTCCAATATGTAGAATATTTGTAGAGAATATCAAGTGGTAGTCGTGGAGAGATGACGGTGTTGCCAAACAGTATGTGCATTCAGACAGTATTGCTAAAGAGTATATCTTTTCATGTTAGTACTTCAGAAGGGTGTGGAAAAAATTTGAAAAGGATGAAAACCAGCTATGAGACTATTTGTATGCGTGGTAAACATACTTTCTATTGAAATTATTAGAAAATGTGAACGTAAAGAGTTGATACGCTGTTGAAAGTACCTACCTGGTGAAGAGATTTGCGTGGAATAATTGTCTGAAAACTGACACAGTTATGCTGTGCATGAAGTTTTTACAGTAAAAATATAGTACTTTTTAAAAATACCATTTTCAAGTATAAGCACAATTAGCTGCATTTATAGCCCATGAGGGCCTACCAACAATTATTACTTCCCTATTGCTTCCTAAAGAAAAAGAATCAGTTTCATTGTTTCACAATGCAAAGGCTTAATCATATGGTTTTTAAGTAATGTGAGGAATTAATATCTCTTCAGGTTGTTGGGGGTTTTTTTTATTATTATTTTTTACCTATTACAGTTGAGTAATTTCTTGGTAGTCTTTTATAGTCATGTCTGCTGAGATTGCCACTTGACTTGGAAAAATCCCAGTCTGAAATGTCAGCTTTTGCACAGATCTATTGAGGTATTTGATAGCTGGAAGCTGGAAGGAGAGGATTCCTAATATAGTACAAACAGGGAAAATACTGACTTTGGTAAACACTATTAGCAAGTGGGTCTTTTCTAGTAGCAACTATTGTATCAGACTTTTTGCATGCTGCTTTCTAGAGCAGCATTTCTGTTATTATTAGTGATTCATATAATTGCTTTAATATTACTGTTTGGAGAAGACATGGTACTAATTGGAGAGTTTGTGCTCCTAAATAGTCTGACAGCACTGTGAGGGAGGAAGCATGAGGAACTGTGCCCTGAGGAAAGGTGACGTGCAGGGGTGGGATGATTGCAACAAGCAGTCTTAGACGCAGATTGTTGGTGATTTGATTAATTTAAATTTTAAAATAACTTTGATATCAGTCTTGACTCATTGTTTGGAGTATCACTGTACGAAAGTATTGGTGAAAAATGAGAGGAATTTGAATAAACAGAGAAGTAATGAACTCGTAAGCCAATTTGTTGCTGCCCATCTTACTTAACATCTTTACCTCTAGCAGGAGTAATAAAGGGTTCAGGCGTGCTTTTCTTGTGCCTCAGAATCTCTCCAGGAAGGGCCCTTCAGTAGGATTAGGACCATTTACCCCAGGATTACAAGCACTGTTCAGTGGAGTGTGGGAATCTGTCTTTACATCCATACATATTTTTTCTTTGTATAGCAGTTGCTTAAAACTAATCTGTAACTTAGAATAATACGCCATTGTATTTATGAGTCTTTCAGAAGTATAATCAAATGTGGAGGCCTTTTTACACCTGAGGTATACTGGAATTAAAGCAGGATTTTGTGGATTAATTAAGACTGCAGTGCTACAGTGAATCCTGCAAATAATTTAAATGAATGTAGAACAACTTCTTCCCTTCCCCCAGCCCCTGTAGAAGACAGAATAGAAAAATGTTTAATTAAAAAGTAAGAAATAAGCAGTAAAGTTGAACACCTGAGAAAAAAAAATGTAATTTATGAGGCTGACGTCCAATTTTAACAAAATTTCATATATGCAGTATTCTGTTACTTTTTCCATTCATTGCCTCATTTTACCTGTTTTGGGATAAGCAGTAGCAGTGAGATAGCTCAATCTCTGTACGTGGATGCAGAGCATGGCTTCTAGTGCATAACCAAAGGTAATAGTGGGAAGGTAAATATGCTTCTAAATCCAGCTCTGTATATTTTTCCCTCTGTCTCCTTTGCCGTTAGAATTGCGTTTACCTTTCTGAATCCTCTGTAAGCTTATCCCAGGATGAATGAGAGGGAAGGGCTTTTCTTTTTCAGAAAACTGTAATACCTGTCCATCCAACTGTATTAAAATTAATGCTATTTAATACTTTTCTTTGTGACATATTTTACTGATGACATGCCATGTTTTTCAGTGTTGCTATTACATCACTAAGACAGGAAAAGGGACAAATATTTGTTCATGGGAAATCTAAGCTAAGAACACAGAGCAAGTGATCAGTTGCCTGAATGTTGTACCGTGCTGATATAGCTATGTTTATAAAAAATAAAAGTTTTTCATTATACCGTGATCTTTAGGCAAATTATATTTTTCCTGATGCTTTTAAAGCCTAATTTGATTGGTTATAGTAGCCAAAACAAGCCACAGGTTTTTTTAATTTATTTTTATGTTTGCAAATTTAAACTTGACACCTTGTTTATAGCTGTCTTT